CTCCTCGTGGTGCACCCTTGGCAACGTATACTCATGCGGCAAAAAAGTCTATAAACCGGCAGTTGACTTCTCACTTCAAACTACCATCACCCCACTGTATGTCATTGTCGACTTCTTCCACAGTGCTCACCTCACCTTTTTCTACCTTTGTGTCTGTCTCTTTTACATCTTTAAAACTCTCTTCTGTTCACCCTCCCCTCTCGACTTTTTTTCGATTTGATGTTTCTCTCCCTCTGTGAAGCCTGAATTCAACTAAAGGGCTAATGATAACTATCATAAAGCCTGCTATTTGATATAAATAAATAAATAAATAACATTAGGATAATACTATTTTCACTTCAGCTGAAATTACGTCATTCAGACTGTATTAACAGTAATCAAATTGTAATTGTATTTTTTTTGCTTTACTATAGGCCATTACAAGCATGCATTAAGCTCAAAATGGCCTTCTCCCCCTGGTCTGAACGCAAAGAATTCGCCTCGAATTATGGGGAAAATATGAACTCATTATGCTTAAGAAGTGCGTAGGGAGGTAATCATGATAGGACTTGAGGCTTTTGATTAAAACAAAATTCCTCACGCATCCTGCAATTTCCTTTTGCAACACTCAAAAGGGTACAAAGAAGTAAGCCATTAAACGAATTCTCAGACCCATTATAACTACACATAAAAGAAGAAAAACGCAAGAAATTGTACAGAAGAGTATAAAAGAAATGCCGAAAGGGAGGGAATTTTACCTAAATAGACTGTTGATCCGGAATAGGCAAGCTTCCTCCAAATAGCTGTTTCGTAATTTGTAGTAATTCGAGAGTGGTCCTCTTTCGAAGTATGAATTTCGAAAATTAGCCCCTCAACCCCTCTCCCACACCCCCCACCCACACTTCCTCATTCAAAAATTTTGTTTCACGGATTGAAGCACTTATTGATCAATAGATTTGACTGAGAGATTGCATCCACCAAAAGCGAACTTGTTCGATTTCCATTGCACTTAACCTGCCTCACTTAGCCTCCGTTGCTATGGCATCTGAGCTTATTTTGGAATTCTCACCGATAACGTAAGATAAGGAAGTGTATCGAAATTATGGAGAGACGGTAGGACCAAAACCTGGACTTTCAACCCTTATCACAAAATGTATCTGCAGGCACAAGGTAATTATTCAATGGTTTTGCCAACTACTTCGGTCTTTTTCAAATCACAAACTTAAGAATAATTCCAATTCAAAACCCAGACCTCTTTCACTCCACCTTCTCAAGGTCATCTCTTCCGGCCAGATTCTCTTGCCACCGGTTTTCGCTACATCTGATGACCCAACAGTCCTATTCTTCACTGAAGTAAGCCATTCCCTTTAAAGAGGCATGTAGTATTAAATCCACTCTTTATTCACAAGGACTATAAATGTAGGAGAGGGGAGGATGGGGAATAATTCAAAGAGTCAATTTGGAAAAGAGGTCGAAACAGCCTGTTCCAAAACCTGTTGTCAATTGGCCCGTTACGATTTGAGCTGATGGTGACTTTGTATCTTCTACCATGTCTAAAATACGAAAAATGCCAAATTATTTTTATAAAGATGAGTTACGTACCACCGAATAAGCACGTACTCTTTATAATATCATTTAGTTAATGAAATGCGCATAGGATGATGATCGATACCATAAAAATTTCAGCAATTGCACGACTTTGCAATAGGTAAAACTTAAAACTGAGATGAAAGCCCAAAGCATTTGAACCCAATAAGGTTTAAGAGGTAAAGAGAATTGAATGAACTTTTAAATAGCAAATTTGATTAGCTTGCCAGTAAAACCAAATCCAATTGTACAACCACCCAATTCGAATTTCGTTAAACCTTTTAAATTGAATGACAAGTAATAAAACACACAAATGTGGGCGATTTGTCAGCCTAATAAGGTACCTCACATCACCGTTTATTTTAACTATTTGAATCGGTAGTAGACAAATGACAATCATCAAAACATGACATGACCATATCACTTACTATCTCAGAACAGAGGGTCTCACAAAGAGATATGACCATTCGAATTTTAAAAGCCAGATTTGATTCACTATAATGAACTTGAAGAGGCAAATGCAGATGAAGAATTTATCCCCATGGGAATAGAACGAAAAGAGAGAAAAGATCGTAAATATGAAAGGGGAAGCGTATATCAGACGTGAACATGGAGCAGCACACTTCCAGTAAAACCTAACAAAATTCACGGCATACCTAAGGGGATTTACTTGTCACAATTTAAGCCACATTCCGTCTTATTGAGAGGTAAATATGGGCAAAAGCTAAAGATAATATCTTGAACAAATTCCACTCTCCAAACAATAGAATTCTGCATATTGGCAAAGAAAATATATGTTTATCATTATAAGCGCTATTGAATGTGATTAAAGCGGCAGAACAGAGCAAAAACGCAAATGTGACACCTAGAGGAACACCACTAAAAGCGGAGTTTGGAGAAAAAGGGCCAATATCGGGGGAGAGGTAGAGAGAGAGAGATTGGAGAGCGAGATAGCGGCAAAACCTGCTCAAACAATCATGGTGACTTGTGTTTAAACCAGGGAGAGGGGGAAGCGCACTCATCCGTGATCACGAGAGATTTGATTATAGCTGAGTGCTTTCGAAATCATATACATGAAATTTATATGCTGATTAATTATATAACTCAAAGGAATTTTACATCTGGTTTATCAGTGTGGTTGTCAGTGGCATTCCCCAAAGATTAGGCTTTCGTATCACATATATGCATACACGTTTATTGTAAGAACCCCTTCTTTCGGTACCCACTTGTCTGTAAATGAGACTATATGCAAGAACAATTAATTTCCTTTTTTAGGAAATAATTGTGAAATAGGAAATTCCCCCCAAAACAAAACAAGAACTCCGAGACCTATATTGAAGGAGTAAAGGAAATCCCCTCGAAGCTAATCAGCATGATACGGAAAAGTCGGGAAGAAGGTGCAATAACGAATGAGATACGAGTCTACTCCCCCATCTATTTTTGGCACAAGCAGCAGAGAACATAGTAAACAGCCTAAATTAAACCTGCGTGGATATATATATACCCCTATAGCCACTTTAATAGTGCTCCACCTAAGCAAAAAAACAGACGAGACCGCACTAACTGGGCAATGCGTTTTCTTTCCATTCAAACGAACTTCTAAAGACTTCCTAATGTCTCCAGACTTACCCTCTTGAATAACCTTCTTCAGGACACTAGTAGCGGTTTCGAAGGATGTTTGCTGCATTGGTGATGGTTTGAATTCCATAGTACGTCGATTGAATGCCCGATAGGCACCGGTAACTGTAAGGTAGTCTCCCACCAGACTGAAATGCCGCGAATCAATATGAATTCCGTAGTGGCCGAAAACCGATCTAACTTCTTGCATCGCAGTGGCTCGCGCTGCCTCAATACCGAAAAATGAGTGCATAGCATGAATATGGTTGGAGTAGACCCTACTTAGGTCGAATACATCAGGGCGCTTGAACAGGTACTGGAAAATAAATAAATAAGATGGTAGTCATAAGAAGGAGTCTACTGAAAGGATTCTCATTTAGCCTGTATCAAATCTTTTTGTGACGCCAGAAAATGAAAGTGATAGATTAGCTGGTGCTCGTTTTCTATAAGCAACAAAATCTAACTCACTTTACCAACTTAACCAATCACATTACCCTATCTGACGCTTACCAAAATCACTAGTTAATGAAACCCCGGCAAAGTTAATGGAGACAAAGTCATGGGCATTTATTAGAAGGCCAAATAGGGCATTCTTCTCTAGACTACTACGCTCCGATATGGATAAAGGCTACCAGCGTAGAATGCATTGCTGAAAATATTTGTCAACTAATCATTTACCTCCTGTTAAACTTCATGTAAGAGAACGTTTTCCTGAGCTACGAGTCATCTATCAATATCTGCCAGGAGCCTGAATAGCTGTAGCTCTAGAAGTGGGCAATTGAGGAAGTTTTAAAAATATTCGAAAATTTTTCTATCCACCTTACTGAGAGCTGTCTCAATCTTCGCAATACATGATTAGCAGCTACCTATGACCCCTTTCTCTAACAGAACTTAGGGAGAAGTGTTAAATTCACAGCCGTTTGACACGGCTTACCAATCCTATATTGATGTCTTAGAAGCAAATAATAATCTTTCTACACATTAACCATATTATTCGATGACACAGTAAATAGTTTTAGCGTCACAACTGATATTTCCTAGGTGACTAGAAAGATTAACAATAATTGCTCTCGCCCACGTTGTTAAAGAGAGAATGAGCAAACAGAAGGATACACACAGGTGAGATAAAGCCTCCTTTTCTCAAACAGCTGTGGAGGAAATAAAGAGTCCGTCAGGCATTAAACGCTCATCTCCTATACAAATGTGATTAAAAAGAAAACGCGCATTAGGCCACATTTAGTCAACAACTTACTTTAAAATCAACGCCCTCACACCGCAGTACCCAGTCGTTTGGATCAGTCTTGTCGATGAAAGATTTCCTAATGTTGGGACCCTTCGACATGATACATCTAGAGATGACATCCTGAATGAGGGTTTTTAAATCTACTGCAACTCGACCTTCGGGGTCAAACAGCTAAAGAACGCAAAGGCAATGAAGGTTATGAGACAAGGCAAGGGGAATGAGATAGTCTTAATGCCAATAGCTTACCGATACAGTAAGTTTAACCCAAGAGGGATTTGGACTGGTGTCGTAGGCGTAATCAACGAAACGAACATGCAAGCTTTTAACAAACTGAAATAAAGAATGAAAAAAAATAAGCAAGGGCAAAAAAGGGATAGTTAGTATTTGCCCGCACCACCCAAGTTTCGGGCGTGTGATACAATAATCTGTGCAGAGCATTAGTTATGAGCAAGTAGCCTCCCTAAGGGAATTCGAAATCTCATTTCAAAATTTTAACTTAATTAAAATTAACCATTCAAAGTGAAGAAAAAACTAGGAGGGAATTATCAACACCAAATAGGAGGAAATTTAAAGACCCACTCTTTGTTGCACTAAAGCCAACTTGATAAATTGGCGGATCCATATATATATATATATTTTAAAAGAGAAAGTGACTTCATTTATTTCATCGTAATCAAAGATTGACCGATCGTTTACAAGAAAATCTTTTTCTATGGGATTTCAGCATTACTATTCCCTCAACCAATGCAAGCCATAGAAACATATTCCGAAGATTACATTTCTCACCCTAATCGATCAAAACTTCACCCTATTTGTGCAATTTACTCAAAACACTTGATAGCTTCTAAAGCAGTATATTACATGCACAAAAAACTAGACATTAACTTACTCTAACTCGAGATTCATCCATCACACCAGAGGAGGATGTAGTATTAGTGACAGGACCATCACCAGATTCCGGATTCACAAACAAATCCTCATTTGCCAATATTGGATCATTTTCATCTCTTTCCAATTCAACAGCCTCAATACCTGCAACAGCATTCTTCGCCAACCCGTCGTCATTGCAAGCCTCGCCAGCTGCTGTCTTCTGGGTTTTACTTGAAAGCTGTTCTGCATCATCATCCAAGGGCCCAGAGGCTTCCACTTCCTCAGCAGCTTCAGGGTCGAGACCTAATTCTCGCAGTTCTGCAATCTCATCGTCGTCTTCATCGTCCAGACGTTTGCGTGAACGACCCGTCTCCACACCATCTTCGTCCTCGTCCTCAGATTCCAGTCTGCGTCTGCGAGCAGCCTGCAATACAAAAGAAATAATAATCAAAACCACAAAGATTATCAGTCCTCTAATGAACTTCATTATCCAACAAGTTGTGCAAAAAGTGGTTGTCTTCGAATTCCCGTGAATGTTAATCGAACTTGTTTATTCGCATGAAGATGATTAAAAAAGAACAATCTGAAGAAAGAAAAGTATCAGACCAGATGATTTTGGAGCTCGGATGACATAGGATCTAATTGTATAACTCCCACACATACACACTCTTCAACTTTAACCCCCACCCAACCTTCCAACAAACCTGTGTGTTTAGGCGTCCCCACGAGGAAAATAAAATAAATGAAGACCGTCGAAAATGGAATAACCCGCTATGAGTACACTCTTCCCGTTGCCCCTAGTACTTCCCATCAACCTCTCACACCGATTAATTATATGAATCTGTTCGTCTCACTTTTAGTGATCAGTGCAGTCCGGTTCCTCCTCACTAGTTCCTGCCATTTCATTCCAAGCACTAGATCTCCAGTCTTCCATTTAACTGTTTGGCATCAAAAAATTGTTCCCCAACACCCTGTAGGAAGGCATTTAGCCCTTCACTAACTCCTAAACCATGTTAAGAAATCGTTATCCTAGTGATTGACTCAATTTCGGCTACGCTGTATGGTAGAGTTAATCAATGCGTGGCTAGCCACTCAGCTCATTAAATACGAGATGATGGTAATGGAAACCATGATCTTTTAAATGACAGACAACCACAAGGACCAATATTATATTGATGTGCATATTTAATCCCAAAATAGCAATCACTCCTTACATATTTGAGGAAGTAAAGTGTCCATATTATTAAAATTTGATGCTACAAGTGGCTAAAAGGCAAAATTACCTATCATTAATACGGGGTGCGCGATAGACTTACCTCCACGTGGTGCACTCTGGGCAACGTATACTCATACGGCAAAAAAGTCTATTAACCGGCATTTGACTTCTGACTTCAAAATACCATGGCCCAACTGCTTGTCATATTCGACCCCTTCCTCAGTACTCATCTTACCTTTTTCCCTACCGTTATGTCTGTCTGCCTCTTTTACATCTGTGAATCGCTCTTCTATTCCCCACCCCTCGACTTTCTGCTACTTTGATGAACCTTCCCTCTGTAAAGCCCGAAGTCAGCCAAATGGCTAATGATAGCTATCAAAAGGCCTGCCATTTGAAATAAATATACCTATCATTAATACCAGGTCGCCTTAAATTAATTGGCCTTTTACCCTACTTTCTGCCTTCATTTCGAAACTGACGACAAATATTTTTAAGTCAGATCTCAGTTTTGCGGAGTTAATAGGAGTCGTCTTACCAAAATCTCAAGCAATTTAAACATCCCTCACCTCAAGCAAGCGCAATGAGATAAATTTTCAGGAATTATCCCGTAAACTACTAGCAACTATTTATGACTCAAGGACACGAGGCCATCTCTTAATTGGCGCAGGGGGGAGAGGAATACAAAGCAAATGAACAGCAATTATCAAGGTGGATTTAAAGCGGCACGTGTTGATGTGGGAATAGAATTAGGGAAAAACAAAAGATTTGCAAGTCGGGTACCATTTTCCTTAGGCAATAAAGAGAAATACTATACCCATGGGGGGTATGCGCGTTTTCCTACATTTGAATTTCAGTAATTTAACTCCACCTCTACCACTCTTTCCATAGTTGGAAAACATACACCTTAGCTAGAGAGAAGAGAACCCACCACTTTTCCCTAACTAAAATAGGTACCTTCGGTGAAGGCCTTAAAACAATTGATTGTGGGATAAAATGGCATTTTTATCTGACATGTAATAACAACTTACCTCAGCTCCATCGACCTCACCCCATTCATGGCGTCCAATTCTTTTCTGTGCCCCATCTAAATCATCAACATCATCTGGTAGCTGTTGACGCTCCAAAGCTTTCAGATTGAAGGTCTTGATTGCACTACAAAATGACAAAATAGGCCCGTTAAATGCACTCAAATGGTAGGAAGTTAACGTATGAAAAGTAATAACGGTGCGATAAAAAGACCGTCCGTTAAGCCAGACACATTTATTCCAGTGGTTCACGAGATCAATTAACTAGAATGAATAACTATTGGGTGGTCAACTAAGTCCTTGCCGTTTTTGTTGACAGATTCACTCTATACTTTCTTTTGTTTTGTTAACGTGGCCAGAGCATCTAACCTATATTTTTTTCTTACTGTATGGGCTTCTAGGTTAATTAGTAAAAAATTTTTTTTGTTTAGTTCTTTAGTTTTGTTTTTATCCCAATTTAAAAATGAAAGAACAGGACGTGCACTTCCGACACATTTTATTGTATTACTTCCGAAAAGGCAAGAACGCATCGCAAGCACAAAAGAAGAAGTTATGTGCTGTATATGGAGATGAAGCCTTAAAAGAAAGGCAGTGTCGAAATTGGTTTGAAAGATTTCGTTCCGGTGATTTTTCACTGAAAAATTCACAACGATCTGGCCACCCAGTCGAAGTGGATGAAACCCAGACCAAGGCCATTATCGATTCAAATCGTCACAGCACAACACGAGATATTGGAGAGAAGCTCAATGTGTCGCATACATGCATTAAAGATAACAATTAAAAACCCTTGGTTATGTCAAGAAACCTGATTTATGGATCCCTCACCAGTTAAAGGAAATTCATTTGACGCAACGGATTAGCATCTGTGATTCGCCGCTACTGAAACGCAATGAGAATGATCCATTTCTGAAGAACCTAGTTACTGGCGACGAAAAGTGGATAGTTTATAACAATGTTACTCGCAAGAGATCATGGGTGAAGCAAGATCAACTAGCCCAAACAGTATCAAAAGCAGAGATTCACCAAAAAAAAGATTATGCTGTCAGTCTGGTGGGATCACAAAGGAATTTTGTATTTTGAACTTATGCCGCAGAACCAAACGATAAATTCAAATGTGTATGTTGAAGAACTCGAAAAACTGAAGGATGCAATTGAAGATAAGCGGCCGGCATTATCAAATCGGCGGAAGGGTGTTGTTTTCCAAACATCTTTGGTTACTCGGCAAAAATTATTGGAACTGGGTTGGGATGTTTTGTCACACCCACCATATAGCCCTGACCTTGCGCCTTCGGATTACCATTTGTTTCGTTCCATGCAAAACTCTTTAAATGGTAAAATTGTTAACAACGCGGATGATGTCGGATCACACCTAATTCAGTTTTTTAATAGAAAAGACCAGACATTTTACGATCGGGGAATTTTTACTCTGCCAGAACGATGAGGAAATGTAATCACAAACACGAGAGGAAATGTGACTGGCAACAACAGAGATTGGCGAAGATTCAACAGAAATCATGAAACCCTATTGAACACAGGTGGGATCGATCAATGAAAACTATTAAAGTGAAAAAAAGGATAGTCACTCCATTATCACTAGACTGTTATGTTGGATCGAATAACAGGAGAAGCGATTATGGCGTAAACAAGTTACATAAATTGTTAGTTAGACCTGAGGAAACGGCCAAGCATACAATGGAGGAAAGTATTCGACGACGCCCGTGAAGCTTACATAAAAATATCAGATATCAGCCATTGAACTTAAGTGACGATTTTTAAACACACAGAACAGAACAGAATAGCTACTGAGAAGATTTTGACGGGCAAATCGGAGATCTGTGGACTCATTTACGATTATAAAGTAACTAATTCGAAATAAATCATAATACCTTCGTGAGAAATAGCCACTAGGCACAAATGTTGGAGAGACAAGTATCATGGAAGAAATCTGAGGTGAAAAGCCTGAGGGTAATCAAAAAGAAAGCTCGTTTCATCGATCAAATGTGCAGTAAGAGAAGTTTATCTATTGATTTCTAGTGTGGCCGACATATAAGTTAACGTTGGGTCAATACCACAGCCAGATCGGCAGGAAAAAAATCGAAACGAACTTGCCTGGCTTTAGTTTTGCCTTCGCCGAGAACTTGCGTGAAGCGTTTGCTGAACTGAGGGAATACTGTTTTCTCAAATGTCCGGATAATCTGCTCAGGAGTAGCATTAGTGCGCGATTTGTACGAGGAAGGGGGCAGAAAGTTGAATCGCATTGAATAAAAGTCTGAAGAGTAGTCAATCACCACCACAGGATTTGGATTTATGACCTAACAATAAAAAGATGGAAAAGTAAGAGGGAGATTTAGAAACGATGAATTCTTCAAAGACCAAAAGGAGGTATAAGCGAAGCATTTTATACAAGATCTCAATATTCCGACCTAAGCGCAGGAACTATTAGGACGTTTCCTCGAGGTAAATTAAATTTCAAGAAATTAACTGCACATGAAATTAGTAGTTCTAGAAGATATGGCAATTTATTCAATATAAACAGTACTAAGCACAACCTTGACAATTTGCAACCCAAGGTTAGGGAATATTAACCGGATTGTTATGCATCAACTGGCAGCGGCGGCTTAACCTTCAACCGTCAACTGTACGAAATGAGATTTGGCCAAAGTGAGTACTCTGTTTCCTACTTTATGCCCAATATCCATTAAGCTTTATTTGTATAAAAATATTCAACAACCCCAACCCATGAATTTAAATAAGATTCATTCAAAGAGAATCATAATCAAAACTGAACCAAAAATATTCCCTACCTCAGCGAGTCGAAGTCGATATATACGACGGACAATCTCTTGAGCATCGGCTTTCGCCCTTTCCGTGTTGAAGATAGGTACACTCATACAGGGCGTGGCAATTTCATTCGAACCAGTCATTAGAAGCTCTCTGAGTCGTGGAATACCCAGTGTAACATTCATTTCAGTTTTACCAGCGTGGTGGAAAGTGTTCAGCGTCATCTGAGTGGAAGGTTCACCCATAGATTGTGATGCTAACAAACCCACTGGCTCGCCAGGAGGTGCCTGAAACAGGAGATTAGTTTTATAATAAAATCATGAATCACATCGTTAATACAATTAATCAAGACTCACTTGTCCTTGAATGATTTTGGCATTGACGAGGGTACGTAGGCCACTAGCCAGTTTGCAGGGTGCTTTAGGAAGTTCAGGGTACGTGGTGGCTTGGGCTGATGCAAGCTTTGACTTTGCACGGGTAGCTTTCTTCTGTAAATGGGCCAACTTCTTCTCACTTATTGATTCACGCAGGACCTAAAAAGGAATTGAAAAAAAAAGATAAGCTGCTTTTAAGCCCCCTCACTCTCTCACCCCCTCTCTTAGCCTGTTTTATGAGACAAGGGCTCCAATATTTCACCATCTCCTTCTCAGTAACATAATGAGAGGCAAGATGAAAGGAATAGGAGTGCAAACATAAACATGAAGGGGAAGAGACATCAGGCTCATAAAAATGGTCATATGAGGAGAAAAATGAAATACGTACTAATAGGAAGAAAGGATAAGTAAACGATTTCTCGTTATTTCACTGCCTTCGGGTCTTTACTCAGAAGACAAGTTTTATACGAGGCGATTTGATTTGATATTTTGAGAAGAAAAATAATTTTTTCTGGCGTGAATATGTTGGCTGTGTAAAAATAAGCAAGGGGGAATCGACGAAGCTTAACTAATGAGAATAGAAATGCTTTAAACAGACCCATTTTAAAAAAAATCGAATGGTTGAAATGTAAATGCCCCTCTTAACAACTTCACTGTTGGCCAGAATTAAGCATTGCAGTTGGTCACAGCCATCAAACCTGACAGACAATCACGTTGATCCCTGTCCCATCGCCATAAAAAGGGGCGAAAAGCACTCTTGAATGCTACGAGATGATTTATCTTTATGATTTCGAATCCTAACGAATCCCATTGTTAAATCTCATAGTCAAAACTAAGCACAAAACCAATTACCAAAAGAAAAGAACTTTGCCAGGATAAAACACAGAACAAGCTTCATGTTCAAAATTGACCATAAGAGAAAATACAATTGTAAGAACAAAAATGAACGCGACTGCAGATCAATTACTTCACATGACCTGGGTTGACCTAAAATTCTTCAGAGACAGCTGCTTACACAGCACGATAGTGAAATTCAACTAAGTTTATTAACTTACATTCATTCTTCGAACAGCCATCTCGTCAATATCCTTGGCAAGATGAGGTGTGAGAGGGTACTTATTCAACAATCTTTGGTTGACTTCCGGATCTGCTGGACAACTCCAACGCAAGGCGAGGAGTTCAGCGTTTTCTGCAAAGAATTCCAGACCATCTTTCTTCAAAAAGGCACCTTGGCAGGGATCAAGTCCATCGTCGCCGTAACGAAATTGGACCACATTGTTTCCACCGTCACGAACAGTGCCATCGAAAGCTACGACGACGTCCTATTTAAAAAATAATAATAAATAACTAAATTGGTAAGAAACGCTTACAAAATTTAACCGTTCCTAAACAGTCTAAATGGAGTCGTTTTAGCTGCCAATCACGGAGGAATGAAATCCCCAAGCCCACGAGGCAAAATTGAAACCCTAACTAATTAACATTAATTAGAACAGTTGTCCATTACACCCACACGCAGGAAAAGTAATTTCCAACATTTATATTAGATAAAGTGATAGCACCAAGGAGGTTCCTAGTTGGAAATTCAACTTAGACATTCTCTTTAACAGCCTAGATTTGCTATATGTTCCCAATTGAAGGGCGCATATGGTGGTTAATCCCATGAACAAGCGCAGACAAGCGCTCAAACACTATGTTACTATATTTGTTATTTTAATAGCTCGTCGTAAAAAAGAAGGCCACATTTTTAACCTGAGAAAGTGTCTAGGATCCACTACACTCTACTCATTATATCCGATTTATTGAGTCCTATCTTATACATTGACTTCTATTAACGAAATTTGAACTTCGCGTAAGAGAAGCAGTCCGCGAACGAAGAAGGGAGAAAAATGGTGACAAATGGAGACAAAGAAGTGTGTCTCCACACACCCCCCCCCCCTTTAAAACTCTTCTATAAAAAGAAAGCTTGATGTCTCTTCACCGCTAGTGGCATTTGTCTAAATTGAATGCGAAATGTAAACATGTTATATTCCGACAATTAATTGAAATTGCTAAATGCCCAAAGCTAACTAACTACTTAGATGAAATATCGAAAATATCATTTGGACAATTAATGGAGCATACTTACCTTATGCTCCAGATAGCAGAAAGGAGGTAATTTCCTAGGCGTGTTAATAGGGTTTCACACACAAGAGCTTAAAGAAATTGCGACAGTTACTACTGTAATTAAATTATTAACTAGACCCAATACAACACAATCATCAAAAGGCATATACCAGCAAGAGCAGAATGGGAGAACAAATTTTTGCTCAAACTGATAGAAAATGCCCTTTGGGAATTACATTCCTATATTACACTAAAATAATGCTGTACTTGTTTCATTTCTGCTGCTGAAACCTCTTCTTGCGGCAACAGCTACTAACGAAGTCAGTCGAGCCTTCGGATCAAAGCCAAATGGAGTAGAAGGAAAACAATTGAAATTCAAAGTCAAATCAAAGAGGAGAACGAACTGCAATGGTGAGGAAAATTAGAACAATTCAATTTTAATAGGTTTAGTTTAGAGAGGCGCCGCTACCAAACTCACTAAAAACTCCCGGCTCAAAAGATATTATTATAAATCTTCAACGGATGAAACTTTTAAACTAAACACCATCTAGCTCACTAAGTGAGACAGTTATATGTACTCATTATTTAATACGTGATTAATCAACTTAAAATCCCCCTTAAAATTAAACCAAATGATAAACGAAATCTTAAAATATGAAGGAAATCTAAATTACACAGTCAGCATAAAAGTTTGATAAATGTGAAGTTCATTTCTACTGGAGAATAGCTATCAACACAATTAAGGATAATTGAATTTACTTTTATGAAACTTCATAAATGCATTTCCTACATTACAGATCAAGGTTGCTTTTAATGCCAGAATGAAGCAAGAGTTACAGGAAATTGTTCTTACGCAATTCCAATTAATTACTTAAATATAGCTATTAGAAGGTATAAATCCAAATTTATGGTTTTGCAACTAGCTGAACTTTTAATGCAGCGGAGATTATCCCCTATAGTTAGGGGTGTGCGATGAACTTACCTCCACGTGGTGCACCCTGGGCAACGTATATTCATACGGCAAAAAAGTCTATTAACTGGCAGTTGACTTCTGACTTCAAACTACCCTCACCCCATTGTATGTTATATTCGACTACTTCCACAGTACTCACCTCACCTTTTTTCTACCTTCGTCTTTGAAGCACTCTTCTGTTCCCCCCCCCTCTCGACTTTTTTTTCCACTTTGATGTTCCTTCCCCTCTGTGAAGCCTGAAGTCAACTAAAGGGCTAATGATAACTATCAGAACGCCTGCCATTTGATATAAATAAATCCCCTATAGTTATTAATTTAATAATTGCCAAGGACTTTCTATTTT